TTTTATATACAAAAATCATCAAAGAAAGGTAAATACAGTGTTCGAATAAAGGACATAATAACACATCGTGTAGCATAGCTCTCAACAAATGTAGTCCTGTAAATAAATGAATAAAGAAATTGTGTAATAAAATTCCTCTGGCGGGACTCGAACCTGCGACCTCTCGCTGTCAAGGCGAGCGTCATAACCATTAGACCACGGAGGCTTCATGGTTAAACAGATTCAAATACCACCAGATACACTCCATCACACAATAAGTACGGCTAGAAACAATTGTTGTTAAAATTGTTCAACCTCATCCAAACTGAATCAATATGACATTTACTTTGGAATGTAAGGATAATTAACTACAGAGTGAATAAATAAATATAAACAATGAATCAGCACCCATTCTATTGTTATTGATATCTACTTTGATTTCTTTTCTTTTCAGAGGTATCAATATGAGGTATCTGGGGAGTATAGCAGACATAGTCAAGAATGCAGCATTGTTAACCTATCTTTATGTAAGTAAACATTGACAGCCCAAATCATTGCTGCCTCAACTTGCTTCCCCAGTGTTTATTACAGTAATTAATATTATTAAAATTATTGTATTGCTGGGATTGTTTATAATAAGTGTATTGGATTTATATAACAGGTTATACTAAAGTCTCAAAGAACTTAAAGTGTGGACTAGCTTGTAAAATAACTTACTTTTTCTTTCTGAACTGTTTTTATATCAGTGTAATTTTTTTTTCTGTGCCTCATAATAAATTTATAACTTTATTCATCCTTTGAAATAAACAACTAAATTATTAAAATTGAAAGTTTAAGCATTCCATACAGGTACCATGGAATAACTTAACTATTTTATGCAATCCGTTAACACATCTATGTTTTAATTGAATTTAATTATTTAGCCTTTGTCCAGGCTATCAATTATTATGTGACAAAAATATGTGATATACCTAAATATGGCCATAATGACATCACATTATGACTATATATGGGCATACAACAGTTTATTGTTTTTTTTTTCAAATAAAATATGATAGTTTGACGTGACATATTTCTTTTAAATAAATTAAATGATGCTGGATTTCAGAAATTGTTGATTAGTGAGCTGATAACGCGAGCTGCTAAACATCTGTACAAGACCTATATGCAGGGTGTTGGTATGGTGAACCTGGCGGCCGCTAAGACTCAGTTTCTTAACTGCTATTTGAGTTCCTTCGCTAACCCCGTACCAGCTAAAACTGATGAAGAGGTATTCTACAGTTTTTTTCAGTTTCTTTCTTCAGTTCTAAATAAAATCACAGAATTTTAATAATTAATAATTAAAGGAAGAAAATTGATAATAATATTCTTTTAATGTAAGATATCATTCATACCAACAGGCTTTGAAAAAAACATTCTTGATGAATGGATTTTAATGTGCGACTTCTTAATGAAATCAAACAACACTAGAAACTCAACCAAAAAAAATAAAAATAACAGTTAAAAATATCTCCCATGTTTAAATATTGTTGGTCAGTATTATTTGAAACTGATAGCATTAATATTCACTACCAGATTGTCACCATATTTAAATTTCTTTTATTTGCATTACAGATGAATGGGCATGGAAAGAAAAAAAACAAGAAAAAGAAGAATCGAGCAATACCGACAATTGCCTATGGTCAGTTATCGCAATGTCTATTAACATCTTATTGTATAAACCTAATTGTGTATTTTAAAATTGTGAATATGGTTTAAAATTCATTGATATATTTGCAAAGTTCATTTAATATTACTCACTATATTTTAAAATATTTTTTATGATGAAAATTTATTATGTAATTTTGTAATTTGTAACTGACATTCCTAATGCAACTTCTTTTTTGAATGCACCGCATTAACCATGAGTGCTATGGAATATAAAAGTGTATATTCAATAAAGATTATTAGGTTATTTTTAACTAGTAGTTTGTTATAATATTTGTTTATTATTATATATATTATAAATTATAAACTAATATGCTAATAGAAACATGGTATGTTTTATTGTGTAGATAACAATGCCTGGACAAATTTAACCCCATCTGACCTATGGGCAAACATAAAGACAGAAATAAAGGAATATTTCCACTTTGAATTAGAAGGGTAAGTTATTTATATCTGTTTCGTTAACCCCTCTTAAGAGGTATTGTTCCTGGCCAGCGTCATGTTTAATTGGAGCCTGATCACTTGGCTTCTTGAATAACTTTCATTAGAGTTAACAAGCTAAGGACTATGTTGGTATCTGTATGTATCTGTTATACTACATGTTGTAATTCAGTTGGATAATGCTGCACTGTGGCTGTCATGGGTTTCCAGGGCCCAGCTCAATTTTCCGATTTTCAATTTGAATGAGGACAAATACAAAATTATTATAATATTATATATCATATTAATAGCATATTTGAATGTTGATCTGTAGAGCAGTAAGTAAGGAGTATCAACTTATTACAGTTTATAGTTGAAAATAGAATAAATGAAATTCTATTAAAGTGGGTAATTTCAACCATATTAAAATGCCCATACCCAGCTCATTTACAACTTTTCAGTAGTGGATCATCCTTCCTTGATTGTTTTTTCTATGCGTAGGTGTGAGGATAGAGATGCTATGTTGCAAAACCACCAAATACAGAAGGTGACCCTCCTTCGTGAGTTCAGTCGTCGCATGGGGCTGCAGCTGCTCATTAGGGAATACGTGTTTGATGGCAAACAGAAAGCAACGTTTACCGAAGATGATATATTGAATGTCTTCCCACTGCCAAAGCATATAAACCCAGTAGCAAGCGATGCTTACAACTTCTACCAGAGTGGGCAGGCCAGGATTCAACAAGGTACAATGTAATGATGTGTATCATAAAAATAAATAACAATTGTAATCATGATGGTAATTATAATAATGATGATGAGAAAAATAGGAGTGACAATGATAATGATAAGGATAATTATAATAATGATAAATATGAAAATGGATTGGAAATGGAGGATTATGATGATATTTATGATAGTAATTGATAATGGTGTAAATTAAATAGTGATGATGATTATGAAGGCGACAACAATTATTTTAGTAATAATAATTAATGATTATGGTAATAATTTGGAAATGATGATGATGATTACATTAAATACTGGTGAGGACAATGATGATGATGATAACATAGTTGACCATATTGGAGAGTATTATGTTTTCCCAAATCAAAGTGTGATGTATTATTTGGTTTTTTTTCCCCCTTTTTTTTTTTTGTAAAGGTCTTTACCATGATGCAACTGAGTTAATCCAAGAGTCGTTGAATTTGTTCACTAACGTGTATGGACCGATGCACAGTGAGATTGGAACATGCATGCGAACACTAGCGAAGCTCCACTACATAAATGCTGAAATCCCAGAGGTAACACTTTGAAACATACTGTTTCAATTTGCAAACACAACACGTGACATAATCAAGAACACAGATTTCTTGTTTGTAATGTCTATGCTCTTATGTATGTTAACTTGTCTTTAATTAGAGCAATCCTTGGTTAGTGACAAGGGCGTACCCTTGCGGTTTGGGTGCTCCAAACATCTTTACGCTAGTGTTTACAGCGCATAGACTTTTTGTATTTTGCACTATGCCATTTTAAAACCATTAAATATGAAATTTCCTGATGCAATTTGTATTTGATATTTCATACTTGTTATTATTAATTTTATGTTGTAATACAAACAATTTCAGTAATTTTATTATACATAAATAAATAAAAATAAATAACAAAGCCAAGCATTTTAAGTGGTTAAAGAACATTCATAAACAATAGACATGCTACTTTAAAACACATACACATGAAATGATTGCAGATTTTAACCAATCACATTGCATCATTTGCAAGCCTATTAAGGGTCATGGGTTAATTTTAAGATCATTTACTTCATTAAACCCATGGACATAACATAGTTTCTGTAATTGCAGAATAAACTTCCTAATGTAGAAATAAGTCTTATAATTAAGATACAATAGCTTTTTTGTCTCATATGACATTGGGAATTCTTCTATGACCGTATAAAACACATAGTGTAATACACAGTATGTTATAATAGCACTTAAAATTCATGGTGTAACATTTTGAAATTAGGGCAAAAGCAAGATGTCAATGCAATTATTTTGTAGTTTGAACAATATGTATAGTACGATATTTGGGCATTTTTTTTTTCCTATTTACCTCAGGCTTTGGACATGCAAGAGAAAGCAGTAATGATAAGTGAACGATGTAATGGTTTAGATCATCCAACGACAATGACAGAATATGTAAGTCAACAACAAAATATAAGAAATTAAGCATTGTTATATACATTTCTGTTTGAACATTCAAGTTTTTATTCTTGGGAATATTCTCTGTACTATATAGAGTCAATATGTACAAATAAAATATAGTACTGTAAATTAAGCTTATCACCATTGATATGTGTTATGGAAAGACCTTGTCATGTTAGTTTAAAGGACAAACTAGTAATAAAATGACCATCATAATATACTATATTTTCAATTTCTCAGATGCATCTGGCCTTGTACTGCTTTGCAAGTAACCAAGTGACAAACGCCCTCAAGTTGATGTATCGTGCACGGTATCTAGCTATGCTTGTGTTTGGAGAGGACCATCCAGAATTTTCTCAAATTGATGTAAGCCATTTCAGATTATTTTCAATAATTTCACTAAAAAAATATTATATTCTATCTGCCAACATGAATGGACATGTACCAATTTTCTCTTTGCAAAACTATTTTGCATTTCCTTTTCACCAAGAAAATCAACATGCAAAAATAGGCAATTAGTTGAAACACTATAAAGATTCCCTTAAAATATATACATGTGAGATATGAATTATTACAATATATAAAATATACATTCTTTGAATTGTGTATATGATTGTTAAATATTATATATATTTGAATTTGTGATTTCAGAGTAACATTGGTTTGGTGTTGCATGCTGTAGGTGAATACGATCTTTCGATCAAGTTTCTCCAGTCGGCATTGTGTAACAGTATTCTGTTTCATGGTGCCAGTAGTCTTAAAGCAGCGCTCGGCTACCACTTGCTAGCCCGTGTACAGTCGTGCAAGGGCAACTTTCGAGGGGCTCTGAAAAATGAGAAAGGAGCATATCAAATCTACAAACAACATGTAAGAATACTGTTTTTCCTTATTATTAATGTGTCTACTGATTTTTTTTTTGGCAATTAACATCACCTTTTGATTTGTTTTGTTTTGTTTTGTTTTGTTTTTTTTGCTTATTTGCTTATTTATGATATGCTGCTCATCAACATAAACATTTGGATGGTTGAAAACTAAAGGAAGGATACATAAACAACTAACTAATGCATTCCCTACATAAAGTGCATACCTCTGCCCAGTGTCTGAATACCAAACAATGCGTAGGCCCTGTATGATGTGCAATTTCATTATTTTCAGCCCTTTGCCTGAATACCGAGCAATAATTATGATGTGCGTGATTCCATTATTCTCTTTTATGCTCGGGGGTAAAAAAAAAAAACGAATTTTCTTGACCTTGTTCTTCCCAAAAGTTAATAATCTCTTAGTTTATTATGTATCATTCCACTACATTTTAGGATGAACATACATTACTTTTTGTATAATTTTGCTAACAGACAGACATGGGTGAATACATAACCTCATTGGCAGAGGTAATTACCATACATTTTAACACAATGTGTCATCATTGGCCGGACTATACATTCACTGTAATTTTAGCCCCAGTCCGTTCTTTTTTTTTTAATTTAATGGGTTTTTTTTTTTGTAGTATGGTGAAACTCATGAGAAGACAAAAGAAAGTTCTGAATGCCTGCGATACCTCACTCACCAAGCTGTTACCCTGCAAAAAACTGTAAGTAATGTACATTAGTTTAAAGTAAAATACTTTAATGTTAAGTAAAATACTTTAATGTTAAGTAAAATACTTCAGTGTTAAATAAAATATTTTAATGTTAAGTAAAATACTTTAATGTTTTACAGTCATACATTGAGTAGTATTGGAATTGGCCATATTTATTGTGGCTTCATCAAATGCAATTCTAATGGTTGTGCATTCTGCCATACAGCCTGTGAATCCATAATTCTAAATGCACAGAATAATGAATCAAGTGGCTGAAAAAATCTGAGCATGTTTAAGTTTCTTGATAATTACAATCTTAAGTGGTTTTATATTTTTCTCTCTTATAGATGAACGAAATTAAGAAGGCTGGTCCGAGAGCTGCCATGCAGCCATTCAATATAACACCGCCCTCTTTTGCTAGTGTGCTTGAGACGATCGACATGATAAATGGAATCTTTCGTATACCCTTTACGTAAGTGATAGGAATATATTTCATTAAAAATTCTTTAGAAACTGCTGGCATCATATTTTTTAATTATTTTCTGTTCATTGTTTGAAATTGGAAATCTTGAGTCAATATGGAATGCTATTATGGTAGTATAGTTTCCATTACATTAATATTTTTTTTTCTTTGCTTGCATATGTTTAGTGTCAGAGCAGTACCAAAAGGAGCCACCGCCAAGAACAACCAAACTGAGAACCAAAAGGAGAAGCAAACTGAAAATGTTGAAAAAGTAAAAGAAAAAACAGAAGTAAAAGAAACAAGTGAAGTCAAAGAAGGTGAAGATAACGCAACTGTAGAGGACAACGTAAAGGAAGATGGCAGCTTGGACAAAGAAGATGAGGAGCCTAGTAGTCCTGCTAGCTCAGGTAGTCCTGCTAGCCCCATTAGTGATATAGTGAGTGATGATAGTGCCACGAGGTAACAGATTTCACTATAACAAGCAACAGGGCCTAGTAAACAACACAGCCTACTGTGTTAATGGGTAAGAGTGCAGAAACATTACAAATTTACTGAGTATGTGTCTGGAGCCTACCTCAAAAAGAAAATAATGTTAAAAGTGTTAAATTCACCTTTGTTAGCACAAAGTAAAAAATAGTGAAAATAAAAATAATTATAAAAAATGACATTGGTGCTGCCTCTATATGGTTATAAGGCTGGTTGTTGTCCTGTATCTGTTTAGATTTATGTAACCAAGGAAAAAATATTGGTGACATACACTAATACACCAGCCATCTTCCTCTATATATGTGTGTGTGTGTGTGTACATATATATATATATGTGTATGCACAGAGACGTCTTCCTTCAACCTGATAGCAATAGGGATAGCTGGCACTAAGTCTGCCTAGCTCATTTGTCTGTAGTTGGGCCTAGCATTATCGTAGCTTAGGTCTGGATTATAGTTATTTTGTAATTTCCTCAAACTTTCCTAATTTCCAATGCAATAAATAATAATTATAGAGCCAGTTAATACCATCATATCATATAGTATATTGTTGATTTTATTTTGTGAACAGAGTTTGTATTTATGTGGCTGTGATTATGATACATTGATTTTATTTTACTTGCCATCTCTCGTGAACAAAGATGAAGAGAGGTGAGTGATGAATAAAATTTAAAATTAAAATGGTTTATAGCTTGGATTGTTTAATTTTTTAATGGGTTTTGGTTAAGCTTTTGAAACAATGTCTTTATGCCTTGAATTTCTGTATGACATTGATCCAAAAATGTTCACCAAATTGTCATTTAAATGTTGCATTGTCATAAAGTGAATCAAATTAATTGTGTAAAATATTCGGCATAAAAAAGGATTGTATGAAAATTGAGTGTTTTGAATGAACTGCTGTGTTTGTTAATAATGCATTACTGACTCATGTTGACTGTTGGTTTGTCGCTTAAATGGGTCACTGTTATAGTTTCGCTAAAAACATTGTTTTTGTTACAAAATCACTGTGACGTTATATGACATCCAAGATGTTTTCATTGAGTCTTGTACCCTAATTTACAAATCAGCAAAATTAATTTTGAAACCTGTTATTTTAAATAATATTGTATTTTATTTTTCGTTGAAAGAGTTAAAATATAGTACTGTACATCTATTAGAGAGGTATACTTAATTACTGTACCTGATTCTCCATGTCAATGAGACTTAAGGAATATAATTCATAATTCACTGCCAATCCAGTTATTGCCATAATTTCTTGACTACCGGTATTACAAGTTAAGATACACTCACATTGAGTTGGGTATTGGTAGACGATTATATTATCAACAAATCAAATTTATGATTATTATTTTGGAAAATTGATTTCCATGTATTTAGCAATATATTATTGCAGTTAAGTGGATTTCATTGGAATTCTAGATGAGTATTGTAAACCTTAATTGTGTGAAACGACATTGAAGGGGTTGATTTTTTTGTAATAGACATTTCAGTCAAATCAAAGTCTATATGGTGTTTGGCTTGAAAATCAAGTTTGAATTATAAATTAAATAAAATAATTTGTTACTGTGTTGTAACAGTAATTTTATCATTAAAATTATCAACTCGAGTCTAAATCGTTGACCATAATAATAAATAATCTTAATTTTCATAGGACTGAGTTCAATAATATAATAATTGTTTTGCGATTTTGAGTTGCACGTCGGTGGTCACAAGCAACTCTGCGATTGTTGAGATTGTATTTGTTGTGATGTAACGCACCAACTTTTGTTGCACTTGTTATCAGTGTTAATTATGACTCGCAGATATTTTTCGTGACAAATCTGGATGGATGAATTTCATCTAGCTTTGTCATTGAACTAATGAGGGCGCTATTCCTAGTTTTGCATTTTGTAGCACCCTGTGCTTGAATTTCTGCAGTGCCAGTGTGTTACTTGTTAATCTCCGAAATTTGTGGAGTAATTCAATTATTGAAAGAGAAAAGTAAATCGGTGTTAGAAGCACTTGCTCCAGACTAGCAAATAAGGAGCATGTTGCAGAAGGTGAGATAATAATCAATTGATAATTGCTTGATTTATGAATGAAACGTTGCATACACTTTGCTGTTTAATGTATGAATGAGAATACTACGTGTTGTGATTAACCTCATATTCACCTCTATGATTGTCTCTTATTTTTCATAAGTGTTGAAAATTCGTGGTTGTATCATTGCATTGAATGGTGCTCACTGATACACTCTATAAAATTGGAATAAAATCCAGAATACATGAAAATCCTGTTTTCCTTTGGATTTCTTTATTTTTATAGTTACATCATTAAAAAAATTAATTAACAAAATATTTTCTGGGCGTGAGGTCCACAGTCAATGCCCCGGTGGGTTCGGCAAAATTCCCAAAGCAGATATGCTTGAAAATGTCTGTGTGGTGGGTCTGGGTTGGAGGACTTACTTGGGAAATTTAAAGAGGGGGTTTTACCAAAATATTACTGATAGAACACAAATCCATTAAAAACATTTAAAATACTGTACAAAAGAATTATGAATACAAATATATATTAACGGCAACAAATTGATTTTTCCCGGCATAGAGCTATTATAAATTCTATTTTTAACTCTATGTTTGTTTTTTTTTTTCAATCAGGGCCAGGAATACGAGTAATTTAACGTAATTTATGTGTATGTAGGTTTTGGTCGTTTTGTGGGAGATTGGCAACCAATATCCAAGGGGCGGGGTTTAGGCCCTATGTATTATTTTGTATATTTGGTTGTATCCATATACATAAAAAAAGCAAATTCTTTGAGGATGCAAAAGAATGTATTTTTATTTAACTGTTAGCTCATGATAGGCATTACAATAATAAGAAAAGAAAACACATGATAGACCTGTATTAGCTAACAGTAACAATAAAAAAATTATTGACTGTTGCAAGTGTTGCAAGATGTTCAACTCTGCGACATCCTATGAGCATACAATTCACTTGACGTTAGGTATCATAACCTCATTTTTAGACTTTACGTGTAGTGGTGGCCAGAGGGGACGGGGTATTAATAGGTAATATACGTTTAGCCACCATATTGTTTGTGTTAACTTTTCATCACAACAATAACAATAATAATAATAATAATAATAATTATTATTATTATTATTCAATGAGACTAATTAAAAATAATTTGCGTTCTGTTATGACAAATGCTCATTTAGATAACCTCATGATGGTTGGAATACATCGTGATAGGTGAACCAACCTCGACCATGACAGGCCATGGTTGACAGATTTCATGCAAAATTTCCAAAATATAGAATTTCACTTTCAAGAATGAGGATTTGAAAATAAATTAGATGGTTATACTGCATACTCTTTGTTTCTTGCTTTATTCAAAATGTTTTGGTTTTGGGAGCTGATTTCAACATTTAGATAGCATAGCCTACATGAATTCATGGAATAGTAACTAGATGCCTATCAAATAAGTAATAAAAATTCGCCATAATTCATCAAATACCCGTCGCCCCCCTGGACCCCCTAGGCGGCTCCCCAGGCCCCAGCCAAGTGAGACTCAATTCGCTACACTAGGCCCCCCCCCCTTCCGTCGGGGCCTTTAGCCCCTCCGTCGGACAGGTCCTGGCGCCACCACTGTTTACGTGAAGAGATAGGTGCACATTTTTAGGATACTTTCACGCAGGTTCAACGTCAACGTTAATGAAATGAAAACTGGCCCATTTTTCAGCGGCTTAGTTCGTTTGTTTTGTGATGTAAATGAGTTAGACAGAATGACAAAATAAAATAAACAAATAAAACGGTTGTAATTTATTCCTATATATAAATGTTTAAAGAAATTGTGTAACAAAGTGCCTTTGGTGGGACTTGAACCTTCGACCTCTCGCTGTCAAGGCGAATATATATATATATATATATATATATATATATATATATATATATATATATATATATATATATAAAATAAGAGAAGTTTTTGTCATCGTATATACGATAAATCGTTATCGAATCGTTCAAGTGTAAAAACTTCTCTTATTTCTTTTATTTTCTACATATTAACAATTGCTTAGCTTTTTTTTTTTATCGTTATCGTTATCGTTGAAGTATAAACAGGCCCTTAATCAGCGTTAAAGTTATCCACGTGACCAAAAAAACATGGCCGATTGGTGAGTTTATAAACAACATTTTCGTTAATATAACTTAGATTAAATTTCATAAAATAAAAATTATAATATTTACCCACATGGAATCCAAAAATAATTGTAGGCTAACAGAATTCAAAAACTGAATGAAATATTGTTTAAAGAAAAACCTTTACTACCACAAGTTGAAGCAATCTTGATTACGCAATTTAACGCATTAACTATACAGCCATTTTGTTTTGTCGAGTATTTACAAGTTTACCGCTGCCATCATAGAGTTGGGCGTGGTTTAACGAAGAATGATCAATCGAATACGGCCACTAGCATGCGATGATACTCCTCCCTCTATAGTTCCAAACTGAGTGCTCTCGAAAAAACGAAAACAATGGCCGCGGCGGCAAGGTGTGCAAAAGTCAAATTTACTCTAAAGTGATGCGGCATACTGTGATTCAAACATCAAGATGAGATTATTAAAACCAACGTGGGTTAATCATGATGGTAAAGAACGTTTATTTATTTGCTTAGAGTATTGCTTTTCGTCTTTAGATACCTAGCCTAGGCCTAGGCAGCTAGGGCTAGCCTAGCTAGCTAGGCCCCTAGCCTAGCTAGGCTAGTTAGGCCTAGGCAAAAATACCAAAGCTTATTCATACTAGGCCTAGCTAGGGAATTTTTCAGTAAGGCCAACCAAAAGGAAAGGATATTACGGGCAATTTCCCTCCTCTACTGATTGGCAGAAATTTTCCCATCCCTCCCTGCACCAATCTTGACCTGGCCGTCCTGGGTAAGGATTGGTCGAAGAAACATTACCTGGTAAATTTGTTTATTATATAATAGAAAAATGTGGATTCTAGTTACTAAAAACAATGTTCAGACCAGGGATACAAATAATAATCAATAGATTAGTAGAAGTACAAAATTGTATCATCATATTGCAATATAAAGCTAAGTCAAAATCTAGTAGTAGTAGTCCTACAATTAGTCAAAAATGTTTTACTGTAATTTTTTTCCCCACAGGGAAGCCAATATTTGCAATTGACATTCATCCAGATGGATCTCGCTTTGCAACTGGAGGGCAAGGTAAAATATATATTTTCTATCGAAATGTAATATTTTTTTAATTGTTTGTACACACCTATACTGTAGGCCCTTGTATTGTAGGTACCACGTCTCTAACTACAACTATTGTTGCATGAACCATTTTGCAACCATACCACGTCCTCCATTGTTTTTGAAGGATTGCTGTGTAAAAACTATACCTAATCAAAATGCTTTTAGCTACAAATGTTCCATATCTTTTATATTAATGTTTCTAAAGGTTTATACAAGATCATATACTGTGACATCTTTATTTGATATTGAAATCTAACCTTCTGCCCATCTAACATCAAATAAGATAAATAGATTATTATTGGTAATTTATTTTGTTGGTTATCTTTACAGGAGATGACTCGGGCCGTGTCGTCATCTGGAACATGGCACCCGTTGCCAAAGAGGACGATGAGAAAAATGAAAATGTTCCCAGAATGCTCTGTGAGATGGATAACCACTTAGGTACCCGCCTAAAAATAAGACACAATTATAGCACATATATAGGCTTGAGTATCGTAATGTAAATATAGCTGTGTCTAAATTATTACATTTTCTTTGACAAAAAACTGTTTTATGCCCATCAGTAGTCATTATGTGCCTATATGGTCCTTGTGATGTCATCATTACTAAATTTAGTACCGCTTTTTTTACTCTGCATTATGCATGCAGGGCTTTTCCTATCTCACATCTAATATGAATCTTGCATTTTTTATTGACAGCTTGTGTGAATTGTGTACGTTGGTCGAACAACGGTTTGTACCTTGCATCAGCTGGAGATGACAGACTTGTTATGATCTGGCAGTTAATGAGGTGAGCAAAAAACATTTACTCTATTTCGAAATATAATTGTGTACTAACACAATAATACTAACATAAATACTACTAATCTTTGATACAATGCCAGTGTATTAAATAAACCCAATTCTCACATGCAAGCAAACAACAACTTGTAACAACGATCGCTGCATGTGAAAGTGTTTTCATCTGCCAATCTCAATAAATTTAGGCTCATAATTTTACTGAGCTTTACGATATTTTCATTAAATTATTTTGATTTTCTTCTACATTTTACCACAATCTTTTACAATAAAGAATATAAAAAATACATTTCTATAGAATTATTATTATTATTATTATTATTATTATTGTTATTATTATTATTATTGTTTTTAATGCCAATTATACTGTGCACTTCTTTGCAGCTATGGAGGTATGTCAACGCCATTTGGTAAATCTAAAGCCAACATAGAGCGGTGGCGGTGCACCAGTACCTTGAGACAACATGCAGGAGGTAGCTATACCGGTTTAATCCAGATCATTCTGATATTAACTAGTTTTGTCTGGTAATAACCAATCAACATCATAATATCAAGAGAGTGCATAGAAAAATGTTTTCCTCTTTCAAGGTTAAAGTATTTTTAACTTACTGACAATTGTGTTGTAAAAATTATGTGTTATTTAATAAACAACATATCTCTTTATTATTTATTGATTTAAAAAGTCTTTCAAAAAGGAATTTTTTGGTATTGTTTGTTTGGTTGATAGACATATTGGACATCGCATGGTCCCCTCACGATGCTTGGTTAGCATCTTGCAGCGTTGATAACACTGTGGTAATTTGGAATGCTGTCAAGTTTCCTGAGGTGCTCACAATCCTTACTGGTCACTCTGGGATGGTCAAGGGGGTCACTTGGGACCCTATTGGCAAATACCTTGCTTCACAGGTGAGATAGGCTAGGTTGGATTGATTATGCAATAAAGTTAATTCTCTAGATACCGTCTTCGACTGTAGTCGAAATTGACGTCAAACCGAGAATTTCCATTTTCGAACTCAGTCGAAATTTGGTGACTAAAAAATAGGTGGTTTTCAAATCGCTCTTCTGTTTTTATTTTAGCTCCAATACGTCAGAAATTTTGAACACGCATGCGTGAAGCTTTTTTCTTTCGAAATCTGTGAAGAACTCACATGCGCTTACATAAAAATTTTTAGAAATATCAATTTGAAATCGTTATTCATTTCAAAAATTTTCCGAATGGCCGCACAAGATGTGTACACAGCGATTTATTTTTTTTTCCGGTTTTTGCTGACGATTTATATGTAGCATTTTTCTGTCATTTCTATTATATTATATACAGTATATTATATTATATTATATTATATTATGAAAAAAAAATCCTAAAAATATAAATTATACATTAAATGAAAGCTTATTCTATAAGCTTTCTTTGTTTTTGGAAACATTTTTCTGTATAATTTACATAAAGTTCCCAGAAATCCACCAGAAGGACATATACTCAAAAAAACGCAAAAAACCTTGTTACACTGCAAAAGAATCCGGTATTCAAGAGTTTGCACTACAAAAGAATCCGGTATCCAGAGGGTTAAGAAAACAAGGATGATGAGTGGAGGCTGAAGGAGACAGTGAGATTGAATGCAGGTGTGGTTAGGAAGATGGTGCTGACTGTTGGTGGTGGTGATGATGGTGATGTTGAATGATGGTCATTCTTGATGATGATAATAAGGGGTTTTCGATTACATGACAATGGTGGGATCTAGGATGTTGATTATATTTTATTGGTTATGATATTTAGATGGTTAAAATGTTTTCGGTAATTTACGTTTTTACATGTTGAGGGTTCACCCTCATTAAATATGGTTTTGAATAAATATATACAGTAAGTAAATGTCTATTTTTGCATTCTGCAGTCGGATGACAAGAGTATTCGTGTTTGGAGGACAATGGATTGGAAGGAGGAGAATAAGATCTCAAAACCTTTTGAAGAGGTTAGTTTGTGTTTCTGTTTATCATTGAGTTCCACAGAATTATTGAAAATAGACTTTCAGTTATGATTGATTGCGTTAGATTCTTTTTTTTGAAATAGCATTTAGTGGCCTAAAATTTCAAATTTTAGATGAAAAAAATATTTTCAATTTTGAATACAAGAATCTCCTAATAGCCTGTTCAGTTCTATCTATTTGGCCAGTTGAGTGATCGAATGGTAAGGCAGGGGCTCTGCTAACTACAGCTCCGCTCCTCGCCCAGGGATCAGTTGGTAGAACCAAGTTTTCTCGGATAAGAACTTAAGAAACAGGACGTCTAGTATATACATCTGGCTTGTGTGCACTGTAGGGAAGAGTAGGGGGTTACCCCGATGCTATGGTTCATTTCAGCCCCTGTCGTTGATGAGTGATCTAAACGCCTTACTTCAGCTGCTAAAGTAGTCACAGACCAAGCCCAATGTAGCACAATAACGCTGCAAGTTATAGGTTATTCTCCTACCTTTACCATTATTCTATCTACGTACATTAACTATTTTAGCAATTATGTTTTTTAATATAATGACATTTAACTATTTTTAGTAGAATTTCTGTAATGTTTCATCATTTGAAATTGCTTCTGTACAGTGTGGTGGAACCACCCATGTGCTGCGGTGCTCCTGGTCGCCTGATGGTCATTACATAGTGTCAGCTCATGCCATGAACAACCGTGGGCCAACTGCTCAGATCATTGAAAGAGATGGCTGGAAATTCAAAATGGACTTTGTCGGACATCGGAAAGCTGTCACATGTGTGGTAGGCACACATTAGAACATTAGAAGCTGTTTTTAAAAATAGGCAAAACAAATGATTAGCATGAGTGAGAGTTGGATGCAGTGGTTGCATTTTGGATGTAGTCTTGAAGTTGAGGGTACACAGCTTTAACTTTAACCCATATTTATAATCATTAGTTCAAAGGTCAGCTGTAAACTGCTAGTCATACTTAATGATAATAGACAATAATATTAATAGACAGTATAAACATTAAATATGAAATTCTTGTCCTAATTTTATGTACATTATATTAATTACTACTATTTCTACTTTGAAAAATAATAATTTACATATAACACCTTCTCTTCTTTCCTCAGCGATTTAACTCAAACATTTTCTCAAAGATAATAAAGAAGGGGTCATCGAAGGCACAACAGTTTTCTTGTTGTGCCATTGGAAGTAGAGACAGAGCTGTCTCAGTGTGGGTAAGTCAAGTAGCTAGATTAACCAGTGGCAATCCTTTCAGATCCATGTTCCGCTGTTCAGTTCTGTCATTGCTCCCTTTGAGTCCTTTAAGCTGTAATATGCCCTCTGTGCATGTTGTAAAAGAGCATTACATTCTTCAGAAAAGAGTAGGGCATTTCTCCCAATATCATCTATGTACAATTGTTTATTCCATTTTTTATTATGTAAGGGTATTTTGATGAATCAAATGATTTGATTGTGTAAATGCTCTTGATTTTTTTTGTACACTTTAGCTTACAGCATTGAAACGACCACTTGTAGTGATACATGACCTCTTCAAGAACTCTGTAATGGATTTAGCATGGTAAGTTGTTACATCAGGACAATTCCATTTGCTTGTGCCATCACAGGGACTAGAGCATGTCTCCCTCTCTCCTTTTCATCCAACAGTAAATGTTGCTAAACAGGATCAAATAAACAATGTGAAGAAGCTTTATATACTGAGCCTCAGTATGAGGTTTATGGAGTAGAGTTGTATTGGAGAGAAAAAAATCTGGCGCTTGTAGGATTTTAACCCAGTACCCTATATTAGAAGACTCAAACTTTAACATTCCCAAAGTGATATTTAAATTTGTTATTGATATCAAAAATATAAATGTAAATCACTCATTTGATTGCAGCAAGATCTGAATTAAGAGGAAAGTTATTAGTAACATATTGAATAAAAAAATTGAAAATGAAAATTGAATTACATAATACTAAATTGATAAAAATACATTACTGAAATAGTGTCATCTTAACTGAGGATAACATTTTTATCTGTTTTCTTTGGACTGTGTATTAATTTTAAGAATGTCTATATTTGTAGTTATATTTTAACTATTATGTTATGTTTTTGTTGGGGGTTTTTGGTACAGGAGCAAATCGGGAACTCAACTTCTAGCTTGTTCTTGGGATGGTACTGTGGCATTCTTTGATTTTGATCAGGATGAAATAGGTCATCAGCTCAATCAAGAAGAAAAGGTGAAAAAAAAATATCCTAAATTCAAGAGTTGCTGAGTCAGGGAAAACCTGAAATTTTGAATCTCCTCTTTCTCTAGGCATGGAAAGAACATGCTTTCTCCCATAACTTTGTATATTATTTCTCTTATATATTTTGTATTGAAAGATCTAATTTCTTCCCTTCTTCAATGTAAATTTATTTATTGTATTTCTCTTTTATTATTTTATTTCATTTTTATTCTATTACAGAATAAACTTTATGAGAAAATATATGGGAAGAATTTGGGTGTGGCAAACACGGTGATAGAGAACCCAGATATGTTGAACTTATTGAAGATGCAGAAGGAACAACAAGAGAAATTGGCGGCCAAGGTGCAGGCCTCGCCATTGAGCACACCTAAAAAAGTTATAGCGCCTATTATGGACAAACCACCAACGGTACGTACAGTATATCAAATAGGTGATAAGTAATTATTGTAATAATTTGACAATAATCTTCATAATTTAATCAACTTCTTCTCAATGGTCTATTTTAATGAAATTGCTGTTGTAGAAGTCACTGATTGATATTGAAGGGTTAATCCATCATGACTAGTATCTGTTAGCCATTTCACCGATAGCGTATCTAGAAGCCTCGAAATTGGAATGCTGATGGAGGGCGCAAAGGTGAAATGGGAGGGGCTAGGTGATCGGCTGAGGGGCGCTAATTCGCAAAAGATGGTGATTTTTAACTAATTGATTTTGGGGGGGGGGCGACTGGTGGCGCAAGTAATTTTTGGAGGGGCGTGCGCATCTCCCTAGATACGCCACTGCCTTTCACACCTTAGATAATCTGTCATACAGATTTCCACCAATCAGCAGTGAGCTCCACCTCCCAATCATATAAGTATTTCTCTGAACGTTCTGCATCATTATTTATCTGATAGGGAATGAAGCAACTCAAACAAGAACTTTGAGATGTCTTCTCAACAAGAATACCAGATCTTTTCAGAACTACTTACATGTTGTCACAACCATTTATCAAATATAAAGTATCTGTCATCATGTCAATAATCTTTATTCATGACAAATCTCCAAAGGAAATTCTAATGGAATTATAGTCACTATGGTCTGTGCAGACAGGTAAAATTGTGTGATAATTTCATCTACTGTAGGTCCTTGAAAAAGCAGCGGATAGGATTGTAAATGGTGTGGTGATGCTGTCATTCTAAGCTCTTCTTTAGTTTCAAAGATATCCACTGGGGTTTTTAGATTTCCCTTTTCTGTTGTTTATTTTTTCAAGCTCCTTCAGCACTTATTTATTGTTATATAGTTGACCATTAGACCAAAGATCTCCATGGTTCCGCAACCTGCATTGACTACCACCAGTTTAGCTGACTTCTAAGCTGTTCTTTTCGGTTTTCTGATTATCTCAGTAATATATTTTAGTTTGTTCTAATAAATGTTAATGAATGCTTTTTGAAATTGTTGTTAATTTACAAACCATTTTGTTTCCTTGCCTTGTCCCCTTCATGCTACCTACAGTACCTGTAGGTTGTTTTGATGTTACAGTATTTTATCCTTTTGAAGTAAAGTGGCTGAAATAATAAATTAATTGACTGTGCTCACCCTCAGAGATAGTTACTTTTTTTGATTTATTTAAATGATTCACCAAAATCATCTATTTAAACATTTTTTGTATATTTCCTGGAAATATGTTAGATATTGAAAAGGTCAATTTAACAAATTGAATTGTGCAAGGCCAATAATTTATCAATTGAAATTCTAATAAAACCAATTAGGCTTATATCAGTTTTTCTTGAAATTAATGATTTTGATTTCCGTGTGTAGATTATGTTCCTTTCCTTGGCCAGAAAGATCCTTTAATTTTAAAAGGAACATATTTATGATTGGAATAATATAGATGATAGGAGCTGGCACTCTGTCTTGGAGGAAACAGTGGTTAATGCTATAACTCTTTTATGCAATTTACTGGTAATTTGATTATTGATATTAGCTATAGGGCAGTACTTACTAATCAATTTGAAATCATTATTATGTACTCAAAAATGTGTAGATTTAGTTTATAGATAGATGTAGATATTAGCAAGGAGCCAACCTTGAGCAGTGTAATCTATTTCCTGGCTCTCGTTAGTGTGCCATGCCATATCAAATCATGTGTGATGTATGAAGCCAAATCTGTTGTATTTGGAGCTAGTCGGTTATCCTGTAATTTCCAACTTCATGTATTAGATGTGCATTCCTGCCAGCATTCTGGACAAGATCACCGATTTTCTACAACTCTTGTTTCCACAACAGTTCCATTTTGAGTGACTATTTTCCTCAAATTGGAAGTACAAGTTAGCCATAGTTGGATTAAAAGCGACAAGTATGTCAGTAGCATTGCACGTGGCATCTACAGTGCTACCTCAGCTTGTATTCTGTAGAGCACAAGGAACAATCATTGTATCTACAATACTTGTATTATGAGGATCCCTACGGAAACAAGCTTGCAAACTAATAAGGTTATCATCTTCTAAGGCTATCAATTCATCTTTCAAATCTGATTTTGTTTTGATTGCAAATATGTTGTATGATTCTATGGCAGATCCAGAAGGGGGCCCAGGAATAGACTTTTACAGATTAAGAGTCTATACCACCTCAGCCCATCGTGCTTGGTTCTGAGGTCTGAAATTTTATGGCTGGTACCCCCTAGATTTGAGGTATCTGTAAAGTTAGTGTAAATGAGTTGGGCCAGGGACCACACAGAACCCCAATGAGGGGTCCAAATGCCAAAGCCTCCGATTTCTGGATGTTAGAGTCTCAAAATCTGTAAAAATTACAGACAGGTCTTCATCCCCTGGCATCAGTGAGGTCACCATATGTCATCACACTGTAATTAACATTTGTCATCATCTTCCATCAACATTACATTAATTATTATTTAATTATCATCATCATTGTTAACTCATAAATGCAGATGAGCTAAAAATTTTGGTTTTCTACTACTACCATTGATTTTCATTTCGGTGTTTTTAACATTTTTCACCAGGATGTAAAGAGTAAGCAGATAGAAACGAGAACACCAGATGGAAGGCGTAGAATCACACCCCTGTACATTGCCCCTCAAGTTAATGTAGGGTAAGATGGAATAATTTTGTTTATTACATTCTCAACCAATAGTGAATGGCTCGCCATTTACAGAAAGGAAATGATTCTATTGAACTAAATCTCAATATGAGTCTTGGAGAGCGGAGTTTATGTATGCAAATTGTATGACCGTACGTAAATGATATTACTTTTTATGCAATGGCTATTGCTACACCACTCTTAAAACTCCTAATACTGTTTGAATGCTATTGTATAAATGGATTGGACCATAGTGGTGTAACAATATCCACTGTCTACTTCTTATCATTAGTGCACCCATGGTACCATTTACAAACGTGCCCCACCCAGCATTCTCACCAGCCAATCAAGTCACTCCTATCAAGAGTGCATTCAAGGAGCCTAGCAAGTTGAGTATTAAGACCGAGAAGCAGGAATCTGATTCCGATTCAGAGGATGCCAAGCCACTAAGTGCGCTACAGGCTAACATACAGGTAAGCTGCAGATGCCACCTCAATCAGAATGATCACGATGTTGATGATAAAATTGATGTGTGGTTGTGATATATTGTATAAAGTCCACACTGTGACAAATTTATAGTTATAAAATTTGATATTATTAATAGAGGTTGAGAAGAGAATGAAAATAATAATTATCACGGCGAAAGAAAAATAATGTCTTTTGTTATTAGATTAATTAGGGGTCATCCATTATTTTCATCATTTTCACGAGAGTACAAAACATAATCTTTTTGTATATATATAATGTACATATAATGTATATATTATAAATATATATAATATATACATATCATAAATATATATATATATATATATATTATATATATTATATATATATATATATATAT